AATGCCCACCTGCCTGAACAGCTGGAGCACGGGAGGCCTGGCCCTTGCCTTCAGCGCCCTTCCCTTTTGCTATGACTCAGTTTCCCTGTCCCTCAGAGAGCCAAGCGAGCAGAGGGGAGGAGGTTACCACTTGCACAAAGTTTAGGGGCCACTTTGGAGTGGAGCATCCGCGTGGGACTCATTGTATGCATGGGAGAAACACAGACTGGCCGGACTCCTGGGCTCAAAAGGAGGGCTGGGAGAGGCTTGAAGCCATGTGTGCCCCTGCTGGCCGGGATCAGCGTGGGGGTGGGGTGTGGGCAGAAACCACACGGGCTCAAGTTTCCTCTCTTGGCCAGAAGGGGCAGGAGAAGAGGAGGGCCACGGGGAAAGGGGAGGGTTGGAGGAAGGACGGAGAACTCCGGGGGCCGAGGGCTTCATAGAGGAGGCCGGTGCACCGCCCAGAAGCTTCCCCTGCCCGGTGCTCAGGGCGAGCCTACAGCCTCCGCGCTCAGCGATGGCCAGGGGGCGGGGCACAGGCCTCCCAGGTTCTCAGAGGTAGCAGGGATCCTCGCGAAGGAGGTGTCAGCCCAGGCCCAGCCTCCGCGGAGACAGCACCTGGAGCCTCATCTCTCTGCACCCAGCTTGGAGCCTGCCACAGGTGCCTGCGGGTAGGGTGGGAGGGGGATTCTAGTGAGACCCAGGGACAGGCTGGGGGGCCGGAGGAGGGAGAGGGAGGAAATATCAATACCTAACTTTTGGGCATGTTCTTAAGAGATCTCAGACCGTCCCCCGTTGCCCCTGGTCCAGGAATTTGACATCTTTGGGAACTCCTCTGGGAGAAGACCTCGAGGGCTTCTGGAGTGTTCTGGGATTCCTGGGGCCAACGGCTGTGGATGGGGAGCAGACAGTGGTCCACGGAGGCACCCCTGAGGGGCTGGCGAATGACCCTGAGTAACCCTCCAGCAGGCTAGTTGCCCTGGAGAAGGTAGTAGACTACCAGGAGAAAGTACCTGCTTTCTCCTCTCCATTTCACCCTGCTGCCCCGGGCAGCCGGCGGGGAAGGCTCGGTGGAGGCTGAGGAACTGGAGACACTGGGAGTGTTGTTGCAGGGAGATGCGGTGGTGGGAATGCCTTCCTTTGCCCTTCTCTTCTCCGGGCAATATAGAGATCAGCGTGAACTGGAAGGGAGCGAAGACATCCCATCCCCAGGGTAGTAGTTCCTTGCAACCGGAAGTCTTGGCTGCAGAAAGGGAGTGGGCAGGGAAGCAATGGAAGGGAAGAGGGGCTGGGACTTTAGTCATTGGTCCCCAAAGGACTGCAGTTTGGGGTCCAGGGACCATGTGACAGAATGGCAGGCACTTGTCCCTCTCCCCCTTGTTCCCGTCCACCTGTCTGAGTTATGCATGTCCCCAGGAGATTGCATCTCGTGCTGGTCAACTCCATCCCCTTTTCTTCCATTCCCTTTGTTTCTCCCTCATCTGTGTGTCCCTCTCCCTCTTCAGGAAATTCTTCCTAATCTCTCGAAGTAGGTTGCTCACTGGCTACTCCACACCTTGAGTTTCACTGATCTCCCTTCATCCTTTCACTGCTTCTGTTGTCGCCTGGAGGGGTAGACTGGCCTAATAAGTCTCAAAAGGCAGGTCGAGGTGCTTGTCAAGGCAGGTCGAGCTCTGGGCAGCAGTTGAGGCCAAACGTCTTCCTCTCCCCAGCATCCCCCCCAAATGGCCCTCCTCCTGTATCCCTAAGCCCACAGCCCCCTGCCATTCTGTGAGCACTCCGGGACTGTGAGGACATCTTTCTGGGTACGACCATCAGGATGAGAATAAAGAGGGGGGATTGTAGTCCCTGGAGATGGGGAGTAAGATGGCTGTGTGACCACTAAACTGGGAAGTGGAAACGGATTATTGTAAAAGAAAAGGGACACGGGGAGTCCCGCTCCACTTTCCCGTATCTCTCTAGTTTCTGCACCCTCTGTGATGTCCGTGTGTGTGTGTGTGTGTGTGTGTGTGTGTGTGTGTGATGTTCTTTTGGATCCAATTCTCACTACACCCTCTTCCCCGATTTATATCACTGGCTGCCAACCCCCTGGCTGATCCTCAGGAGGGTAGGCTCTGAAGACTAGAGGGGCTTATGCTTGGTCTATAGACCACCACCCATCACTGAGCGTCTGTCTGGGGAAAAACACTCCTCTCCTTTGGCCTGGTGCAAACTTGGCACTGTATCGGAAAGCTGAATCCGAGGTTCTCCCAACTCCCCTTCCCCAACTTCTTGCTTCTCTCCGCTCCCCTTCTGGATTCTCATCTCCCTGTCGGAGGGTGAGGTGGGGATGGAGTCCGGGTCTTCCTGAGAAGAGGCTGATACCCAGTCTCAGCGATCAGGGCAGTAGAACCCAGTGTCGCCAGGGCCAAAGCCCGGAAGCTAGGAGAAGCCTGGACCACTTGCCGGGCTCCTCTCTGGCTTTGGGTTTTCCTGTAAGGCCGTGTGGTTGGACTAGTTTAGTGTGGCTCAGAAACTCCAGGGCACTTGTTAAAATGTGATCGCTGGGTACCCGCACCAGTGAATCCAATTCAGTGGGTCTGGGGTGGTTTTCGGGATTGTTTTTACAAGTACCCCAGGTGAATGTAGTGCACAATACAGTTTGTGACTGCCTGAGCTAGAAATAATCTACTGCCTCTCACAGCAAGGAAGTCCTTCATCCTGTTTCTGTTAAATGGAAGAGACTGCTGAAGCCGGTTTGGCTCAGTGGATAGAGCGTCAGCCTGCAGACTGAAAGGTCCCGGGTTCGATTCCAGTCAGGGGAATTTATCTTGGTTGCAGGCACATCCCCGGTGAGGGGTGTACAAGAGACAGCTGATGGATGATTCTCTCTCATCGATGTTTCTAACTATCCCTCTTTCTCTCTGTAAAAAAAAAAATAAATAAATAAAATAAAATAAAATAAAATAAAATAAAATAAATAAATAAATGGAAGAGGCTGAATGAGAAGCAATTTGCCCAACGTCATGCATCTGGGAGGCCAGAGACCCTTTCTCCTGCCTCCTAGGGCAGCAGCCTTGTATTGCACCTAAGCGTCAGATCTAGGAAGATATAAGGAGGGGCCCAGGGTGGGGTAGGTGGGTGTGTGAAGGACTGTGAGGCAAGAGCCAGTGTCCCTGCCCCATAAACCCCTTCTCCATTCACTTTGCCTTTGGGCAATTTCCTTCAGAACCTGGGTGGGGGAGGGTGGATTTCCGGTGTTGAAATGGCATCCTGGGCAGACATAAACACCCCACCCACTCTGCCCAAGGGCCAGGGGCCTGTGCCTACACCACCTCTCAGCTCTGGGGATGGCAGTAGAACAAGGGGGTAGGGGCGGGGGGGCTGGAGAAGGTCCTCTTTCAAAAGAATAATTTGCAGCTCTCCCTGATTGTGTTGTGAGATTCAAAGAGTGGACTCCATAACCAAATAGCGATGGTAGGCCATCCCTAGGTGATCTAAGGTCATGCAATTTGAGGTCATTCAGTCTCTTCCTCTGTTCTTCTGTGTTTCCCCTACCCCTAGACTGACTGCTTCTACTTACATGACAGGAGTAGGGCGTAGTGTCTGGCCCTGAGAGATGAGGAGGACCCTGCCACATTTGCTTGGAATTTCTTGCCCAAGGCTGGGAGGACGGATGCAGGGAAAATGGGTGTCAGGGAGGAGGGAAGTAGGATGAGGGGAAGACTGACAGAGAGGAGATGAAGGCAGAGGTGAGGGTTTGCTGAGGAAGCCGAGCTGTCCAAGCAGAAAGGGACCCCCAAGTTCACTTGTCCGACACCCTCGCTTTACAAATGAGGAAACAGAGGCTCAGAGAAGTGCGATGACTTACCCAACACCACACGGCTACTTTGTGGCAGACCTGCAGTGAGAGCCCAGATCAGAAGCAAAGGGGCTGGAGGGGAATATGCATTCATGGCTCTAAAGAGATATGCCCTAAAAGCGGAAAAAAAGAGGCTGAGTTCCCGCAGGAAGAATGGATGATGTAGACCACTGTTAAAGGCTTGGGGTGTGGAGACGGAGGATGGGAAGGCACCTCGAAGGCGACATAGGCTATTAGACTAGCCGAGGGTGGACTCAGTCAGGAGCGGTTCCAGACCTGACTCTGCTATTTACCAGCTTGGGTTTCAGTTTCTGAAGGGACCGTATAGGATCTTTGTGAAAATCAAGCTCATAGACGAATGCTTGTAAAACACTGGTGCAGTTCCTGACAAATGCTTCACACATCTTGGTTACCTCAGCAGAGGAAAGGTCCCTGGCTGTGGGTCGGGGCACGGACAAGATGACCCTGCAGGGACACAGGGCAGAGGTCCAGTGACTCCAGAGACCATTCCTCTTCTGCTGTTTGCAGCTGATAAGCCTCTTATCTGGCCCAGGCAGGGGAGTCCAGGGCCAGGATAGGACGACAGGGCAGGGCTACTATCAGGCACCAGGCCTGGGCCATATCTCAGAGAAGGGGAGGGACCGTCTGCATGGCTCTTCCCACAACACACTCCTTGGGGATCCCCAAGCGCTCGCTCTCATCTTGGGAAGACGGAGATCCTAAAACGGAGAACAGAGGAGGGAAGGAGGAGGGGTCCCTGATGTTGCCTCAGAAAATGGGGAGGAAAAATTCAGAAGACGTGTCTTCTGCCCCAGCCAGCGATACAGTTTTGGGGAGAAAGAAGTAGGGTAAAGAGAGGCATCTTGTCTGAACAAAAAGGTAAAGACCTATTGTGCTCCCAAAGGAACTGACTGCAGCCATAGCAGGCGAGGTGGAGATCACTCTGCAGAAAAAGGCATCCTAGCTCTGGGGAGTTGTTGATGAGTCTAGCGTGAGGGGGGCGGGGGCAGGAGGGGGAGGCCTCTCCTCTCAGGTACTTTGGAAGGAGCCTGTCTCTGGAGGCAGACAGGATAACATTGCTGACCCCAGTAGGAGAGCCCTAACCCCATTTCTCCTTTGATGCAGGTTGCTGGGGCCATCTGGGCTTTGGGGACCCTGGACCAGGCCCTGGCCCAGTAGGATGCCCCCGTGTCCTCCCCAGCAGAGCAGGAACAGGGTGGCACAGCTGCCCACTCCAGAGCTGGGCGAGATGGAACTGACTTGGCAAGAGATCATGTCCATCACCGAGCTTCAGGTGAGTGGCGCTGGGGCGGAGGGTGAGGGATGAGGGGGGGAGGGGGGAGGGAAGGGAAGAGTAGAGAAGCAGAGAATTTAGCCGGGTCTGAGGCAGGGGGCTGGACCAAGGAGGGCTCAGAGTCTCAAGTTGGAAATGTTCCAGGCACTGGAAAAGGAAGGGCTGAAGTAGAAGGGAGATCTGGATGTTAGACCAGAACATTAAGGGGAAGGGGTGTGGGAGAGCAGGGGACCGGAGTGATGGGGAAGGAAGGATTTGATTGGGGAATGTATGCTCTCTCAGCAGCCACTCTGCACACATCTCTCTACCCCACCTCTGGCCCCGCCTTCCCTTTCCCATCTTCTTTTATTCTGACCTCCCTTTCCTCCAATCCTGCTCATCTTCTCCCTTCATTTTCTCCCCCTGCCCTCAGCAGCGGGGCCCCTTTCTCCCAGGTAGCTGAGCAGTAGTTCAAGGGCTTCAGGATGGGGGGGGGGGTCAGTCTATGCCAGGGTCCTCTCCTCCTGCTAGTTGGACAAAGGGTGTCTGTTGGCCTAACAATAATGTCTTTGTCCCCAGCTGGGCTAGAGCAAGGTGGCTCCCCAACGTGGTTTGGGGGCCCTGTTTCGAGCATGTTCTCTCCTCCTCTCTGCACCTGGGCAGGGACAGAGGGACTGAAAAGTGGAGGGTAATGCTGGCGTGAGCTCCCCAAGGTGCCTCTTAGCCCCCAGGTGACGCAGCTGCCCACGCAGGAGCTGGACGAGATGGAACTGGCTCTGCGCCTGATCCTTTCTCTCCCCTACCACTGTGCATGGGCCCCCAGGATCTGCCCTCAGCCCTGCTCCCACACAGCAGCTCCCTCTGCTGGGCACCCAGGGCATGGCCAGGACCTGAACTTGACCCTTTGACCCTAGCAGGAAAGGGTTCTGAGGGGTCATCTTGGATAACAACTCCTTGCCTTCCTGAAAGAAATAAAAAAGCATGAGCCATTTCAACCCAGGAAGAATTCCTGAGGAGAAGATTCCATAATAGTTGTAACGTTAGTCCTTTCTGAAGGCCGCTCAGTGACATCCATTCCTGTTTAAGCTGCTTTCTTCTTGGGAGACTCGCATCGCAACTTTACAAGACGCTTCCAACGGTTTTTAGCGCCTTTTTGTTCCTTTGTTGTTACCTCACTGGGTCTTTCAGGAGGACCGAGCTTGGTCCTGAGAGACAGCTGGTTCTCTTCCTCAGCCTGTCTCCAACTCTCTCTCCCTCTCTCTCTCTCTTAAATTAATTTCTTCATTGATTAAGGTATCACATATTTGTCCTCAACCCCCCATTCCAATCCTCCTCCCTCTCCCCCCCATCTCCAGTTATGCCTCCACCCCTCTATTGTCCTTGACATTGGTTAGGCTCATATGTGTGCACTTGAGTCCTTTGGTTGATCTCTCCCTTTTATCCCCACCCTCCCTTTGAGGTCCAACAGTCTGACCCATGGCTCCTTTCTCTGGGTCTGCTCTTGTTCATCAGTCTATGTTGTTCACCATTTCCCCTAGGTGAGCGAGATCATGTAAGTAGGATTTATCCCGGGGATGCAAGGAGGTACAATATTCGCAAATCTTAAACGTGATACATCACATAAACAAACTGAGAGGTAAAAATCACATAGTCATATCTATTGATGCAGAAAAAGCATTTGACAAAGTCCTACACCCTTTCTTGATGAAAACTCTCAGCAAGATAGGAATAGAAGGATCATATCTCAACATAATATCTCTCTCCAAGTCTCTTTTTACGTCTTTCCTTGCAGGGCCTAAATGCTCCCTGTGAGCCATCGTTTGAGCCTCCAGCCCCAGCCCCATACCCTGGGCCCCCACCACTCCCAACTTACTGTCCTTGCTCGGTCCACCCAGATGCTGGCTTCGCCCTTCCACCACCACCTTATGAGCTCCCAGGATCCTCAACCCATGTCCCAGACCCCCCCTATTCTTATGGCAACATGGCCATCCCAGTCTCCAAGCCACTGACCCTCTCGGGCCTGCTCAGTGAACCCCTCCCAGACCCCTTGGCCCTCCTGGATATCGGGCTGCCAGCGGGGCCACCCAAGCCTCAAGAAGACCCAGAATCTGACTCAGGATTATCCCTCAACTATAGCGACGCCGAATCTCTTGAGCTGGAGGGGACAGAGGCTGGTCGGCGGCATAGCGAGTACGTAGAGATGTATCCGGTGGAGTACCCCTACTCACTTATGCCCAACTCCTTGGCCCACCCCAATTATGCCTTGCCACCTGCCGAGACCCCCTTAGCCTTAGAGCCCTCCTCAGGCCCCGTGCGAGCCAAGCCCACTGCACGGGGGGAGGCAGGGAGCCGGGACGAGCGCCGGGCCCTGGCCATGAAGATCCCCTTCCCTACGGACAAGATTGTCAACTTGCCGGTAGACGACTTCAACGAGCTGTTGGCACAGTACCCGCTGACAGAGAGCCAGCTGGCACTGGTCCGGGACATTCGACGGCGGGGCAAGAACAAGGTGGCTGCCCAGAACTGTCGCAAGAGAAAGCTGGAGACCATCGTGCAGCTGGAGCGGGAGCTGGAGCGGCTGGGCAGCGAGCGGGAGCGGCTGCTCAGGGCCCGCGGGGAGGCCGACAGGACCCTGGAGGTGATGCGCCAGCAGCTGGCTGAGCTGTACCTTGACATTTTCCAGCACCTTCGGGACGAAGCTGGCAACAACTACTCCCCTGAAGAGTATGTGTTGCAACAGGCCGCCGACGGGGCCATATTCCTGGTGCCCCGGGGAAGCAAGACGGAAGCCTCAGACTGAGCCGGCCCAGCTGGGCAGACCAGGAACGGAGATCCCTTCCTTCCTTTCCGATAAAGGAACTCCCCGACCCCGAGGCCCAGACGAGGCCGACAATGAAAGACCTGACTGACGTGTTAGGTCCACGGTGTGTTCAGTGAGGCTTGCTGTGAGACAGACAGTATGTGAGTGAAAGGCTGGAATCTCTCTGTGATTCAGCTCCCCAGGTCTCCAAACGCCACCTGTTGTTTGAGCTTTGGTTTATAAAGCACTCTCCAGAAACGGTTTTCCACTGTGTCTTCCTTCTCCAGGGAGGGGGATGAAGAACGCTCCTCGGAGCTCATTTCTTGGTTTTGGCGGGGAGGGAGTCCTGCCAAGCACATTTCTTTCCCCCACAGCTCTGCGTATGAGTGGCACACACGATTTTGGCTCTAGCAGTATGCAATCGACCACCTTCATCCTCCTTTTTAGAGCCAGGGGCCATGGATGATCTGAGGAACTCCACTCTCCCTGGTGGCCCCGTTTACAGAGCCGAGATTGCAAGGTCCCTGAGGTTTATGTAGGCTTTTTCTTTCTCAATCTTTGGAACACAGAAGTGCCTAGAATACTCACAGGCTTTTTTTCCTATTACCCTCCTGCCTACTTCCATAGGACTCCCTCAGCCTAGCGGGGGAATATTCCTAGCTCCCTAAGAAAACCGAGTGAGAGGATTTAATTGGATGTCTAAGTTTTAGGGGATTTCACACCCAAATCTGAGTAAAACCTGCTCCACAGTGGAGCACCATATGCATTTTGGTGAACTTTTCTTTTAAAATTTTTTATTGATTTTAAAAAGGGAAACACTGACCCACCATTCCACCAACCCATGCATTTATTGGCTGATTCCTGTGTGGGCCATGTCTGGGAATTGAACCCCCAACCAAGCTACTCAGCCAGGGAGGGCCTGTGAAATTTCCTATCTCCCTAATTGTTAGACACTTAAAAAAAAAAATCATTGATTTTTTACACACTTAAAAAAAAAAATTCGTTGATTTTTTACAGAGAGGAAGAGAGGGAGAGTTAGAAACATTGATTAGCTGCCTCCTGCACAACCCCCACTGGGAATGTGCCCACAACCAAGGTACATGCCCTTGACTGGAATCGAACCTGGGACCCTTCAGTCCGCAGGCCGACGCTCTATCCAGAGCCAAACTGGTTTCAGCTATACACGTCGTTCCCCATCCTTTTCTAGATTCTTGGAAGTCCAAGGGCCTTTTATTAATGTATATACAATTTCTTTCAATATAACTTTGAAACAATCATTTTCATGTTATCAAAGCCCTCCCTGACACACTTCTATTTCCTTGGAGTTGGGTGGTTCTATCTTCTCAGGCACTGAATTACTTACCTATTTTGGTATTTTGCTTCTATTTATAATTCTGTTCAACTTTACTAGCTCAGCTCCAATGGGGAAACCTTACTTCTGGATTAAAATAACGCAGTTGAGACAAAAGCAGAACAGTCATCAAAAGATGTGCAATCTGCATACCTACATTCTGAAAATCATGCCCAGGTTTAGGGAATTGAATGTAGCGCTTTCTATTCCTAATAGACTTAAGACAGTCCACACTTGTCAACTTTTCTCAAAAAATCGAACATGTGGGACCAAGCTGTAGAGGGCAGAGCCTAGGGTTTACTGTTTGAACTTAAGGGCAATCATCTTCCTTGAGTCTATTTCTATCTGTAAAGCACCCATCAAAGTACACGGTATGTTAACACAATTGTATTTTTAGAGGAGAAATGTCCATGAGAGTATAATATTGATTGGCTGCCTCCTGCATGGCCCCTACCTGGGACTGAGTGCATGGAACCCAGGTGTGCACCCTGACTTGGGGGGAATCTAACCACATTTTGGTGTATGAGACAATGGCCAACCAAGCCACACCACACAGGGTTAAAATTTTTCAACAAGAATGCTTGTCACTATTAACCAGCCATACCAGGAAATTAAAAAAAAGGTACTTTCTAAGAGTTGTCCTATCCTACCAAACCACGGACCATGTGAAAAACCACATCTAGCAACTTCCAGTCATAAATGGAGAGTAAGTAGCAAGATAACTTATGAAATCACCTATCTCACTACTCACCTTAGCAAGGTTAAAATGGAGGCAGGACCTCCTAAAGATGGGAGAAATGTTAAGCCTTTGCTAAAATTGCCAAAGATATTTGGCCAATACACTTATTAAAAGATGACACCCCTCCAGAATTTAACAGATAAGAGACTGGAGTGGCACAGCTCTGGCTTTCACAAGTTGATTCTCTCTTGCCAGGAGAGCTAGCAAAAAAAGGTATGTTCAAGTGGAACAATAGTTAACAGCTTACTTATAATGGCCAATAGCCCTGCAGTGAGAGCCCAGCTTCTCAGATTTCAGTCCCCACAACCCGATCCTTCCTTGTTAATCTGAATGCCAACCTGTGATTTAAAACATGTACCTAAACTGCTAGGTTCAAAATGCAATGGCTTTTTACATGAGGTCCTGCTCCTTTAGGCTGATCACGAAAGAGAGAACACAAAAGTAAGAAACAATAAAAATATTTTTTTTAAAAGTAAGCAACAAGGTTAAAAGCATTTTATTTAAAAAGCCCATTCATAAAACTGAATGATTAAAGCTGCAACACAGCCAACAAAAACTGCATGGCAGTGAAAATGAAGTACACATTGGCTCAGATAAAGGTCCTCATAAGGATGTTCCTGCAAAAAAAGAAAAAAAAAAAGTTAAGAGGTACTTACACAAGCAGAGGAAATTCCCATTCTCTTAGCTAGAAACCCAGTTGCTTTATTAACAGATTGCTATTAGATCTGATTAGCAAGTCTTTTTGGCTCTGAGACAGATTCTCTTTATTTTGGCAATACCAATCACTTGCTTACCATTACTTTATAAAAAAATTACCTTTTAGCCATGAGTTTGGACAGATGAGTTTCTGTGTAAGACATGTTGATAAGCCTGTAGTGCCAGACTCCTCCCTAGAAAAGCAAACAACCTTTAGAACCCGCTTTTCTGAGATCAAGTCCCATCTCAGGCTAAATCCACCCCCCCCCACTAATGGTCCACCCACCCTCCCACCATTACTTTGGGGAAGAGTCTAATGCATTACTTTGAGCCATTGATGTAAGGAAATGGGTCAAAGAGGTATGAAATAATAAGGGGCAAAATTATTCATAGTAGACAGTTAAAGCACTCATTTCCTTCAATTGTTATCCACCAAGACTAGGGAGTCAATTTAAAACATTTCATCTCCAGAAAAACCAAGTTCAGCTTAACTGGACTAGTTTTGGCTCAATATATTAAGTTAAATATAACAGAAGACTGGATTTTACAGAACTATATGGATGTAAGTAAAATCTGTTCTTACCTACCAGCATAGCAATAAAACCTTTTCTCCTGGTTCTGACTGCTAGTCCTAAGAGTCAGGTGTGCCTTACTTTCTTGTCTGCCTCCTTTCTGGCGATGGTCACTGAAAATGCACTCCCTCCTAGCTTTCATGGAGCGTGCCGTGGCCTGCCCCTGGCTTATCTGTACTCCACATACCACAAGTTCTACTCTCAGCTGCAGAGTGTCTGAGCTCGGAGCCATTCGCGCTATACTTGCTAGCAGTTCCTAGTAGCTGAACATCTCTCCTGGATCTTTAAAGCCATTGTCAGGAATCCTGAGGTATCTGCAAACTCCCTCAATAGTTAAGGTTCCACCTGCCATTGCAAACTCAGCCAATATCAAACCCATGGAACTATCATCCATCATGACACCCCCCTCCGCCTCCCTCCCATCACCGCCCCACCCCCAAACTTCCAAGTAACACACCCATGGGATGAAATACAGTCCTAGTGATAAACAAATCTCTATGCTACTAGGTAAGTACAATGGCACTGAAATTGAAAGTATCAAAGGGGAGGGCTCAAAAAAACCTATATACAAATAACAAAGACTGGATAGTAAGTTAAAAGATTTAGAAGTCATTTTCCATACAATTAACATTTTAGGATGGTTGTGTGATTTTGGGCCATGTATAAAGGAAAACTGCAGTTAGCATGTCTGTAAGCAATATGGTTCCTAAACATGCCCATAATTTTTGTTTCCAAATAGGCAACTAGTGTGATTAAAATCTATAAACCTCTATAAAGGCCCACCCAACCAGAACCAAGGGAACTGCAGTTTTCCTTTAATGCAAGCCTATTTTTGTGTAGGAATAAGAATTTCTTATTGGTGCTGGCCAATTTTAAAAAATGTCTCCCAAATACTCTAAATCTGTGGACTTTTGGAGTGGCCTTAGCCAGCAGCTGGCTTCTATACTCTGGCAAAGCTTTGAACTTGGATAGTGATAGAAGTATTCAACATTATCAGGGGTGGTGGGTAGGGAAAAGTCCAAAGCTCTGCCAGTCCCAAATCCATACAGTTGTCATTCAAGAGGATAGTAAATCGTTTATTGAGTACACATGATAATGGATGATACACAAGCTTCATATCCATCTATAATTTTATCTGGTACCATAATTCAATTTAGATATATTGCATAGGATGTGCCAACAATCATTAATAACCAAATGAACGCCACGACTCTGCTTGGGTGACCCTTTTAATGACGAACTCCAGGTCACAACACAGTAACTGTCAATTCAACTACACCAAAGTTTCTGAAGACAATGGCTTCTGTGCCCAAGCAGATTGTGAGTAAATTTCATATGGAACCTGGCATCACCCTGAAGGAATTCTAGCTTCACACTGTTGGGGTAATTTACCAAGATGGCTTCAGAGCAAACTAACTTTACACAGCACATTTAAAAAAAAGACACATTTATTCAGCGTCATGATCAGACTATTACATTTAGCAATCAACAGCATGGATGCAAAAAAAAAAAAAAAAATCTACATTAAAACCCTTGGTTGGAATGCTTTACACTTTCCACAGAACAGAAACTAAAATAACCTGTTATACAATTAGTCACAAGTACAGTCCTCGAGTTTTTTTGCCCATTCACATGAGTATTGTCTAACACATGTCTTCTTTGTAGCAGCTAGGCCCTGCCACCACTGTGCTTGGCTGAGTTCACAAATCTGTTGTAACCTGTAGCTTCCCTGTCACTTCTCTGGCTCTCCTCTCCTGCTAAGCTTTGTTTCCTGTTGAACAATATGGAATAAAGTTGTTAATCTAAACATATTAAGACTTAAAGGCTACAATCCAATATCAAGTTTTGTTTCCCACAAATTTTGCTGATCTGATTATTAGCTTAATATCCACAATTTTACTGAAGTTATAATGTTAACTAGGTTGCACTGCTTAGCTACATTAGGGTTACTGGGTTCATTATCAATTATGAAAATTAAGCCAAAATACAAAAAAGGTGTCTACTTACCTGGCAGTAATTAAAACCTTCTGCCACTGCCATAGCTACTGCTGCTGCTGGAACCGCCATAGCCACCTGAGAATAAGGTTTGTTCCTTTAAACTTTTGGAAATATCAATAGTAATGCCTATTTGAAGCAAGTTAAAAATCTGAGTTTAAACTCAGATATTTCTAATTTGATTACAATTACCAAACCCTTCAGTATTCTGAAGGCTTCTATTTGTCAGCTTTTCATAACAAGCGCCAGTTATAAATACTTAGCCCTCTAATACTACATATACATGCATACCTTGGTTTCGTGGTTTGGCAAAGTATTGCCCTCCACCACCATAAGGGCCAGAGCTTCTGCCTCCAAAGTTTCCTCCTTTCATGGGCCCAAAATTTGAAGATTGATTGTTGTAATTGCCAAAATCATTGTAGCTTCCACCACCTCCAAAATTGCTTCCTAAAATGGAAAGAGAGCCTTTGTTACTTAGGAAAGGTGATCGTCCTGAACCTATCTAGTGTTCAGAAAGGGAAAAATAAAGATTGCATGACGTGCCTGCCTTCCTTTCTCCCAAACTTGGATAGCTACAATGTTTATCTTTGTTTGCATTTCATATTTCCTGGACAAGGCATTCAGTTGAATAATCCAGTACTTAAAATGTACCCAACTCTTCATGACAACAGAGCATATTCTCTGGCCTTGAAGGCCTTTATCCATCCAGAGGCACTGCAAACACATGCTGGATACATCAACTAAGTGCCGATGGTCCCAAAGGAGTCAAAACACTGAATCCTACAACAGCTAATCTGGTTCCAGTATCCACTTATTCACCTAGTTGGGAGTGAGGCGGCCCCAGCTTAAAGCTGGGAGGCAGCATAGTGAGCCCATTAAAAAGTACCATGCAGTGTACCACAGAATGCTTTTAAGAGCATCTAATCCCCACATGGGCATAAGCTCTACAAAGCTAATCTAGCTACTGCACCAAGTACCTGGGTCACTGGATACCTACCACTACCACCGCCAAAGCCGCCTCCTCCGTTGTTATAGCTGTCATAGCTGCCACTCCCGCCATAGCCACTGCCCTGGCTTCCATAACCCTGTCCACCACTTCCATAGCCTCTGCTTCCTCCAGAGTAACCAGGGCCGCCTCCTCCATAACCACCTACAAGAATACAATTCTTCTCAATAAGACAAAAGTATTCAACGAGCAAATCTGTTTAAGGCTACCGGGAAACAGCCAGCTTTGAATCATGCTGTTATGGTCAGAGTTTAGCTTGTCATGCACTAGATGCACTCGTTTTAGTTCCTACCCACCTATTCTGTAGATAGCCAAAAAACCTTGTCATCTGTTCACTCCTAACAAACTTACCATCATTACCAAATCCATTATAGCCATCCCCACTGCCACCATATCCACCGCCACCACGGCTGCCACCAAAGCCACCTGGAAGAGAGCAAAATTTTAAAGCATGTTTGAAGCATATAAATTGCATTCAAGTAACAGCCTTGGAAGTACAAACTTTAGGAAATAGTTCCTGCATTACAAAAATGATTTCCATACCAGAGACTTTAACTTCTGGCTAGCGAGAAGCCAGAACTACATTAGGAGAAAACATAACTTTGGAAACATTAAACAGTAGCTACAATACTGCCACAGAATACATAAGGGACAAGTTATCTGTGTTAAATTACAAGCTTACATTATTAATTGGTAACAGTAGAATATAATCCAGTACCTCGACCACTGAAGTTTCCTCCACGACCAAAGTTGTCATTTCCACCAAAACCACCTCCACGACCACCTCCGAAGTTTCCAGAACCACTTCGACCTTAATAAGAAACGTTTTAAGGTTTAAGTGTTACACCATAAGAGCTAGAATCGGACTTTAAGGTTTAATAAAACAAACCCACCTCTTTGGCTGGACGAAGCACTAGCCATCTCTTGCTTAGATAGGGCTTTCCTTACTTCACAGTTGTGGCCATTCACAGTATGGTATTTCTGAACTAAATTTGAAAATAAGAAGAATACAGTATCTCAGGGTTTAGAACACAACCCCGACTTCAGAACCCTTAGCAAACATGTCACCTGATACTTACTGACAATCTTGTCCACAGAGTCATGGTCATCAAAGGTTACAAAAGCAAAGCCCCTCTTTTTGCCACTGCCTCGGTCAGTCATGATTTCAATCACTTCTATTTTCCCATACTGTTCAAAATAATCTCTTAAGTGATGTTCTTCAGTGTCTTCTTTAATACCACCGACAAAAATCTTTTTCACAGTTAAGTGGGCACCAGGTCTTTGAGAATCCTAAGAGGGAAGAAAAAACCCATTTATGAGAATCTATCCCAAAATTAAGATAGAAGTTTCTTTCCATCCCTTGTGTGCTTAATGGCACACTTCCAAATGGAAAGGAAAAAAAACACCACTTACTTCTCTTGACACAGCCCTCTTTGGTTCCACAACTCTCCCGTCCACCTTGTGTGGCCTTGCGTTCATGGCTGCATCCACCTCCTCCACAGTGGCGTAGGTGACGAACCCAAAGCCTCTGGAGCGCTTGGTGTTTGGATCTCTCATCACCTGAGAGGTAAAATTCACTTACTACACAGCAAGATCCCCAAAGCCACCGACATCTCCACCCTGAACAAAGTAACAGGAAACTTGATACTTGCCCCTTTATACAAAGCCCTCCAAGCTCCCATTACCCGTAAATCTAGGAATAAGCTTTTTGATCACTTAAGCCCACACCTTCCCACCCAAGTTATTTGCAAGTGTAATCCTGTTAATTTCCATAAGCATTCAGACAGAGCTAGAGCAAGCCAAGCAAAGGAAATCCGCTAGTCCTACTGCCCTTTTGTCTCCTCCAAGCCTTACCACACAGTCCGTGAGCGTTCCCCATTGCTCAAAATGGCTCCTCAGACTCTCATCGGTAGTTTCAAAGCTCAAACCTCCGATAAAGAGCTTCCTCAGCTGCTCCGGCTCTTTGGGAGACTGGGGGGGATGAAGGAGAAGGAAGCGTTAAGTAGGCGTATAACTCAAAAGCACCTTTTACCTAAGAGAAGCAAAACTAGACAGCAACATGGTAGCACTCATATTGTTCCTTCGGGTCGCAACAAGCCACGTGCTTCTCCCCATTGGGGAGACCTGTTGGGGCTGGGAAACCCGGGGCGCATGCGTCCCTACTTTCCGACGCACGCGCAACAAAAGGACTAGCAGGAGGGGCCCACTGCCAGGAAGAGATTACAACTGCTTTCAAGAAATTCGCCCGAGACAAAGCCCCCCAAAGTAACCGATTTAATGTGTCTAAGAGCCTTGCTGGGAGGAACGAGCGGCGCGATAGCTAAGGGCTGCAGGGCGACGGCCTCATGGCCACGAAGAGGACAAAATGGCGACCTGAACTTCGGGAGGGGTAGGCCCTGGGCGCGACCCAAGAACTGCCGGATGGGCTGGAGCAAGCAGTCACGCCAGACTGCATCCCGCAGGACTCAGGAAGGGACGCGGGAGGAAGTTAAGTTGTAGAAAGAGCGTCTTACTCACCTCAGACTTAGACATGATGCCTGCAACAGGGGGGATTCCAACGATGCTCACTCCGCGGCGTTCACCAGCAGAAAGGAGTGACCCAAGGAACGTATCTGCCAGCCTACCTTCGGCCTCGCTTTTTTATCCCGCCTCCTCCCTTGCGGCATTGGTAGACTCCGCCCCTTAGTAGCTCTGATTGGATATTTGCAGAAGCTTCCTGCTCCTATTGGTCTGTGGTGCCGCATTGCTGCAACGTCATCCGTCTGGGCGTTCTACGCAGGGTCCACCCCTCGGAGACGATTGGTTCCCGAGTAATACTATTCTGAACTAATCTGATTGGCTACCTAACCAATCATTCACATTTAAATCTAAGGGTTTTTCAGTAACACTTTAATCCTCCACGCTGCAAATGTTACATTCTTACTCAGTTGTCAGAGCATGATTAATACTATGTATCAAAAAGTAGAATGCGACAATTTCTTTTTCTTTTTCTTTTTTTTTTTTTTTTTTTTGCCACGACCGCCTGCAGAACGCATGTGTAGTAAAATGGCGAGTTCACGCAGGCGCACTAAGAAGTTCCGCCTGGCTCCAGAAACACGTGAAATGGCGGGCGGGAGACGGCGGCGAACCTACAGCGCCTGCGTCATGGCGGGAGTTGTGCCTCGTTTTGCGCAGGCGTAATGGGCGGAGAAAAGGTCTGGTCCCAGGATTGGCAGCGCAGGCGCAGGGAAGGATCCGTTTTGGCGGGCGGTTGGCGTTGCGCAGAAGACGGCGGCAGCGGTGGCTTGTGGTCCGGCTCTCATCACAGGGGAACAGAGAAGACATTAGCGCGAGAGATCGGTCTCGATCCCGGGTAAGTGGCGGACAGTCCTGCCTACCGATGGGAAGTCTCCATCCGACTCCATTGGAGCCCGTTATTGTGTGAAATGAATGGATCGCGGGGTGGGGGCTCGTGAAGGGGGAGCTGTGGACCCGGCCAACCAATGGAAGGACGGGGGCGGAGGTTTCACCCCGGGCAGGTTCGGTGGAGCTTTGCCCACGGAGGGTTTGACTGGCATGTGTGCAGACCAATTGAGTCTGCCTTTAGCTGCAGACCGATCGGTCCTTAGGCCATCGGAATGCGGGAGGCGGGCTTTCTCCTCCTGAGCAGCGTTTTGCTGAGCCAATGAGCACGAAGCGCGCGGTAGGTTGGGCTCTTCCCTGAGGCAGCGGTTTGACTCCAATGGGGAATGAGGGAGTCGGGAGCTTAAATGGATGGACCGAAGCTGGAGCCGCTAAAATATCCTATGCAGAGCGCTCGGCGAGTCCTCCAATTAGCGCTCCAAAAGACAGGGGTCTTAGATTTGAGGGGTGAGGAAGGGTATCCGATGCCTGTGATGGCGCGGATTTTGTCCACAATGACTTCTCTAACGAAGCCTTTAGGCCTCCTTTCTATAAACCTCCCTGATAGGGAGACTACGTTTGCTCCCTGGATACCCTGAGTTTGCCATTTTCTCCCACTGTACTTCCCACCATCCACCATAGGTTTTGGGGGAAGCAAGGGAGGTCTTTTGACTTGGAGAACTAGCTCCATTAGGAAGACTTCCTTGAAGTTTTAGAATGAATGGGATAAATCTCTATGTATTGTGGGATGCGTATTTCCACGGGCAACTCAATATTTGTATAACCATAGAGAAAATTTTGGAAAGCTTCATAATAACAGTGGGATCGAGGCAAATTGGACCTCTAATGTTTAAATCTTGGCAGGGATTATAAGAATTTGTGATTAAAAAGTCGTTTTGTGTGTGTGTTTCTATTCATAATCACGTACTTCTCACCACTTTTCTCCTTTACACCGCGAAAGAGTGCTGCTTTCCCCTTAGGAACTAAGGCGATTCTCGGTCTAAAAGATATAAATAAAAGTAACTTTTTGAGTACTTAGTATCTGCTAGCCATCATGCTAAGTGCTTTATAAGAAATAGTTATCTTTCCCAGTGCCTTTTTAGAGTCTTTTCTTCGAGGATCTTTTCCCACCACATATGTCTTTCTTTACACCATTACAGAGTTTCTAATCCTCTCTTTTTGCTGCTTCTCTGAGATTGTCTGAATTTGGATAAGAAGGAAGATGCTTGAAGAGGGTGATATTTAGGTGTTGGAGGCAGGAGGACTCACTCATTACCTGGATTATTGTCTTTTGATTATATTTCCTTCAAAGTGTTTATTTACCATCTCCTGTTGGTAATGCCCATTTGCTTATTTAAAGATTTTTAGCAAAGTATAGAAATTTTCATTACATTTTGGCTATATCACAATATACACTGCTCTAGTCACTGATTTAAATACTATAACAAGTTCAGCTACATATGAAGTACCTTATGTTTAGAGACCTATCTAACATAAAAGACATGACTTTAGTTGAGCTTATGGTGAACAGAGGAGTGATTTCCATGCTCTCTGGCACTTGCAAAAGGACAAACCTATTTCATACTTGGTTATGAACTATTTGTAGGTATGCAAATAATATAGCTGCTTAGTTCGTAAAAACTAAGTATCTTTCCGTGATTTCTTTAGGTTTGAAAAGATAACAATCTTGGTCTGGAGAGGGTTTCTCAATCTTAGTACTGATGACATTTCTGTAGGAATGCATCTCACCTCTCCTTACCCCTTTCTGTGTCCATCAAAATGTCTCCAGATGTTGCCAGATGTCTTGAAGGGTATGGAGCAAAATCTCCACCAAAACTATTGATTTAAAATGACAAATGCCCCGGGACGGATTTGGCTCAATGTATAGAGCGTCCACTTGGGGATTGAAGGGTCCCGGGTTCGATTCCGATCAAGGGCATGTACCTTGGTTGCGGGCATATCCCCAGTGTGCAAGAGGCAGCTGATTGATGACTCTCATCGATGTTTCTATAATAACTCTCTATCTCTCTCCCTCTCTGTACAAAATCAATAAAATATATATTTTAAAAAAATGACAAATGCTAGCCCTGGCCGGGCTCAGTTGGTTGAGCATTCTCCCTCCCTTGCACGATTCCAGGTCAGAGCACATACACTGGTTGCAGGTTTGATCCCTGGTCCAGTCGTGTAAAGGATCGATGTTTCTCTCTCACATCGATGTTTCTCTCTCTCTAAAATCAATAAAAACATATCCTCATGCGATTAAAAAAAATAAAATGGCAGGTGCTAGAGTTGATTTTCTTGTCGAAATCTTTTACCAATTAGAAAATGAGGGAGAAGATGGGTGAAGTATTTAGGAAGTGGCCTTTGGTAAATGGATCACTAAATCCTAATGATTATTTTTTCAGATATAGAGTGATCATGGTTCCATTGGATAAAGGGAAAATTTCATGAAATTTTTTTTTTTTTTATCATTGATTACATCTTATGTTTGTCTTCCAAAAATAATGGCACATATGTTTTCTAAGAAGGTAGACTTGCTTTAGATGCTTCTTGCATTTCACGTGAGTTAAGCCTCTGACCTGGGATTCTTTTGGGTCGGTCTCTAATTTTTTTTACCTTGCTCCTCAATAAGAAACACATTTTATTCTGACCCTGTGCACACAATGAAACAAGTTTCACTGTACAAATACATGTGCAAACACTCTGATATTTTTTGCATCTACAGTACACTATTTCATTTTCTTAAAAACGTAGGGTCCCGGGCTCGATTCCGGTCAAGGGCATGTACGTTGGTTGTGGGCATATCCCCAATAGGGGGTGTGCAGGAGGCAGCTGATCGATGTTTCTCTCTCATCGATGTTTCTGACTCTCTATCCCTCTCCCTTCCTCTCTGTAAAAAATCAATAAAATATATTTAAAAAAAAAAAGTAGGTCATTTTCTATTGAATTGATTTCACAGCTGTGTACTGACCTACAATTTAAAGAAAGAAAAACAACTGATCTATAAAATAGGTAACCAAATTATGCCACCTTAAATTACTCTGAGTGAATTCCTCCCATCTCTAACTCGAGTTATTGCTTGTTTTATTGAGAATTCTCTTACAATGTCATGGTTACTATATCTGATGAACATTTCTCTGATGGGGAAATTTTAGTGGGTAATTTAAATTTTTTTTATTGATTTAAGAGAAAAAGGAAGAGAGAGAGAGAAACATCAATGATGAGAGAGAATCATTGATCAGCTGCTTCCTGCATGCCGCCCACAGGGATCAAGCCGGCAACCTGGGCATGTACGCTGATTAGAATCGAACTCAGGACCCTTCAGTCTGCAGGCTGACACTCTATCACTAGATAGAGCCAAACCGGCTAGGGCAGTGGGTTATTTTTTATTGACGTCTGAGAGTATCACATTGAAAATTCTGACTTTAGGCCTTTTATCCCCCTTGCCTTCAAAATGTATTTATTTATTTTAGAGAGAAAGGAAGCGGGAGAGAAAAAAATCTAGTTGTTTATTGGTTGATGCTTGTATGCGCCCTGACCTGAGATCAAACATTGCGTATGGGCAGGATGCCCTAACAGTGGTTCCCAGAGTGCGGCACATGCTCCACAGGGGGCATTTTGATTTTTAAAGGGGACAGTTGGAGAATGAGTTGTTAACAGTGAAATTTGTGCATTTCTTATGGTTCTAGGGGCCTCATTTACAGCGTATACACATTGTGACCTATTTATGCATTTCTATGTTTTGAAACTATTTTTTCATATCACTTCTTTTTAAACAATTTCTTAGTGATTTCTTCCTCAGTACTTCACTGTCCTTTCGTTCTTTTATTTTTCTCTTTCATGGATGCCATGTTCTTTGGAAGCTTGTTTAGACCAAGTTAATGACCTTTTAGGCTTCCTCCATGTGAACAGGAGCTCACTTTTTGAATAATAAGAATTATATGTCATGGAGTGGGGGGCTGGGGATTTTAGAGATGCTTAGGTGGAGCATGGCCATAAAAAGGTGAACCACTGCTCTGACCAATTTAAGCTACCCGGCCAGAGCTTTTTTTCTTGCCTTTGGAGTACTTGGCTTGGTTGTTAAAGACAAAATGTTGAGCCTGTGTTACAAAAATTAAATTTCAAGCACTGAGCTCAGTCCTTAGAGGCAT